GATCATCTGTTTTCACTTTATATTCATTTTACTTTTTTACAATGTCTCAATATTATCTAATATTTAAACGTAATTTTCTTACATATGTACAACTAAATATAATTAATTATAACTAAATATAATAATTATAACTAAATATAATTATAATTATTCATATTTTTCTTCTTTTTTCTCCTCTCTATACTTCTGTATATAAGTAGTTCTGCAATGTACGGTCTCTTATTTCTATATTTATATTTTACTTCTATATCACTTCTTCCATTTTTGTTTTTATTCACATTGTACTCTTATCTATAATTTCTTAATTCTATTTTATATGTATATGTATATATTTATAATTTATTATTTCATAGATATAGTATTTTTTCCCTTGTATCCACCCATATCTTCAAATCCACAAATTCAGGTCAGAAAAATTCCCCAATACCTACCCTTACCCTTATTTTCCAGTTCTAAGTGAAACTCCTAGCTGAACACACCTGTAAGTCTCTATTTTTATTTTTTATAGTTATTTATTTATTTTTGGTTTTCTTTTCTTAATCCACATTTCTATATGTCTATTATTTCATATTATATTCTTTTCCCTTCTTTTTCAATCTCTCCTGTAGATCTGTAGAAGTATATTCACATTTGCATATATTATATATTACACTATAACAATTGTTACCATAACTTAATTTTAGGATCTTGTTACTTAGCTTACTCTGTTTATATTTTAATGTACTTACTGTTTATAATTTTAATAAGCTTATTCACATTGTTTATAATTTTTTTTCTAAATATTAGGTAATTTCCACAATTCTCTATATTTTTAGTATCATGTCCATTCTAACCCTGAAGAAGACCAGCAAAGTCGGGTCGAAACGTTGACTTTTAATAAAATAGTTTTGTCACTATTTAGATATTTATGACCGCCACCCCGGACTATCTCCTTCCTTTATAATGCAATGGTCAACTACTAAATATTCAATTATATTTATTTACATTTCATTTTGGGTATTTTTATTTTTTTAAATACCCTTACATATACAAATTTAAATTTTTATATCACTGTATTTTATACAATTAAATTTTAAATAATACCAACAATAGCATTTATGAAAATAGCATATGTATATGTACATATTATTGTCAGAGTCCGTCTTATATTAAACTCATGTTATGCATGGAAGCTTGTTGTAATCTTTCGGGTGAGCTCGGGCACGCTCTATTCCTATGGTACCTCCATTACAACTATTATCTGTTACGGTCTTTTATTTCTGCTTTAGTTAATTATAAAATGCATTCATTTTAATTTCTTTTTTATATCAAAGATTAATGTGAAATGGTTAATTATTTCAAATTTAAAAAAATTAAAGGTGCTTTAGAGGAAGCTAATATTGAAAATTAGCCATTTAAGCCTTATTAGAGAACATCAATGAGAATAAAGCCAACATAATATTAAAAAATGCTTAATTTTACACTGGTATAATGAAGATAATCGAAATCGTTAGCCGTTTTTGAGAAAATCATAAAAATGTGTTAAATTGATTATATAAAGTACCACTTCTAGGTTGCTGATTTTGACGAAAATGTTGCTGTAACATCCAAGGCTTATAGAAACCTCAAATACGCAATCTCAGCTTCTTATAGCTGTTCATTTTTGAGCTAGGCTGTACAGATACATTAACACACACAGACCATTTTGCGGGACTTGGGTATTTAGACTCAGGGGACCTCAAAACGTGTATTTCTGTTAAAATTCAGATTCGAAAATTTTCAAGATCGCAATACTTACCCTTACTATATATTACATAAATAGGTAAGTAAAATTTGGGCGGGGTGGCCGAATGGGCTAACATGTGTGCACAGCACCGCCGTTGCCTGGCAACTTTGATACATGAGATTACTAGATAAAAATAGTCACAAGTTCGCGTCCCGGTGCCAAGGGAGTATTTTAAGTTGGCATTAAACCCTCGCCATCAGCCCCTGGTCTGGGAAAATTCCTGTATAGCCTTTAAAACGAGGAAGGGAAGGATTAAAAAAAAAATAGACAAGTGAAAATAACAATAAATAAAAGCTTTGCAACAGTTAATTGTAGTCATATCGTCTGAAAACACGAGCATTATAAGGTGACTGGACAGAAGTTGACATCATTTCTCTGGATAACTTTAGGTGAATCTCAAGAATTTACCTAATAAATCTCAATTTAATTAATATGAACTTGAAGCTCTATAAATTGAATAAATATAAAAATATTAAATGAAGATTTTTTTCTAAAAGTGGGGTATCTGTAGTGTAGTTGGAAAATGATAAAAAAAAAAAAATCGCCCATAATTTATGATGTTTTTTTTTTAAACAGAACTTAGCCAAGTTTAGCCACTAAGAAGTAAAAACGAATTGTCATGGAAAGTAGGGAATTAAGTGAAATTTAAATAATTTATGATTAAAATTATATGGACCAGCATAGTTTCGTTCAGAAAATGTTAAATTGTTATTTTTAATCCAACGTGAATGCCACTGATAATGAAGGCTCCTAAATTTATATATATTTCATTGAAGGTATTATTATTTGTTTAAGCATTGGTAAATATTTATAACTTTTAATTTTTGTATTGTTGCAATCTATAAAATTAAATATTCAATACTAGCATTTATGAAAACCATAAATGCTTATATTTAGAAGCCTGTTCTAACCTTTAGCCAAACTCAGAAAAGCTCAGGTTTTGTTGGTTCCCTATTATTAGATTATTATATTATATTATTATTATACTAGATCACTTCTCTTTTAGATATTTATCGAATTCTTTCATCTTTCATATTTAACTAGTTTTTACTTTCACTTACCTATGTATGTAATATATAGTAAGGGCAAGTATTGCAAGCGTGAAAATTTTTGAATCTAAGTTTTTAACAGAAATACACGTTTTGAGGACCTCTGATTCCAAATAACCGAGTCCCAGAAAATGGACTGTGTGTGTATGTATCTGAACAGCCTAGCTCAAAAACGAAAAGTGATACGAAACTGAAATTAGGTATTCAAGGTTTTTATATGACTGAGAAGTTACAGCAACATTTTTCTCAAAATTGGCATACCGGAAGTGGTACTTTATGTTATCGATTTAACACATTTTTACAATTTTATCAAAAACTGCTCTAACAATTTTGATTAAACTTAGGCGAATGTACAATTAAGTGTTCTTAAATATAAGCTAGGTTTTATCTTTATTGATGTTCTCCAACAGGGCAGAAATTTCGATTTTTCAAAAATGTCTTCCTCTAAAGTATCTTTAATTTTGTTTCTTTTAAAAATTTGACTATTTCACAATTTAGATAATGAAAAAAAAATGGTTAAATATAAACAGTGAAATAAATTGATCAAGAACTAAAGGAGAAATAAGAGATGGTATTGAGAAATCGAGAGTTGAAACTCGCGCTCACTTGGGGTAATAGAGTGATAATGAGGAGCCGAGAACTGCCAAGAAAACCAAACAAAGCTCGTCCTCAAGCTTGGTGGACGGGTTCCGATTATATTATTTACTTATACATGTACGGTTTTCATAAATGCTAGTACTGGTATTATTTAATATTTAAATGATAGATTACAGCAATATAAAAATTAAAATCTGTATATATAATAATGTTTAAACAAAAATTATACTCACAATGAAACATAAATGAATATCTGACCTTCTTACTGAGATTTTTGTCGGACTAAACAGAATTTGTGACACATAATTATTTATTATAATTAAAATATACAGCCGTAAAAGGAAATGGTTAATGACAAAAAACATATACATTTAATTTTTTATAAGAGAAAAACATATAATAGTTAATTGTTTCAAATAATATGTTGTACCATCTATGATTTTTACTTCCAGTTGCTTCCAGCTAAATATATTAATAGTAGTATTACTTTATTATGGGCGCTAATGACTTAGATGTTTTGAGCATAAAACATCAAATGATGAAGAGATCTATTTTTACTCAAAGCAAGGCGGTAAGTGAAAGTTGTGTGTTGTGTGCACTGCACCAGATTTTTTATATCAGATTCCAATGTGAAATGATTAATTATTTCAAATACATTTTGAGCATTAGGCATTTAAGCCCTGGTAGAGAACATCAATGAGAATAAGACCTACATTATATTAAAAACCGTTTAATTTTACGCTGCTGTAATGTATCTAATCAAAATCGTTAAAGTCGTTTTCGAGGAAATCATATAAATTTCTAAAATCGATTATATAAATTGTCGCTTCCTGATATAAAGTGGAACCTTAAATAAGCTATTTCAGTTTCGATCTCGTACAACTTTTCGTTTTTGAGCTAGGCTATTCACAAACTCACACACACAGGGACTTGGTTATTTGCACTCAGGGGACCTCAAAACATGAAAATTCAGATTTGAAAATTTTCACAATCGTCATACTTTCTATTACTACATGTTACATATATAGGTAAGTGAAAGTGAAAATCAAATAGTGGTCTAATTTTTGCTGGGATAAAAATTTCCGCAGTTTCAGAACTACTGATAAATATTTCCAGTTTATTTGAAAATATTTTTACAATGATTATTTGCATGCTCAGATTAAGCAGTCTGAAAGACCAGTCAGAATTATGAATTTAATGCTGTTATTACTAGTTTGAAAGTTAAAGTGTTATCCAAAACATTTTAAATTCAATAAGGAAGGCAACAAATAAAATAAAGGAAAGACACCATGTTAAACTTAAAACAAAAAATCTAAATTGACTGAAATGAAGGGTGAAAGAATAAGTAGTTACTTCCCCTGTTGCTTCTCAAAATAAATTATTGAGAAGTAACAGTGGTGGTAGAAAGAATATCTTGAATAGCTTATCATGAATGTTTTTTCCAAATTGTCTAGCGTTAAAGCAACATTTCATATTTAGGTGTTTCTACTGAACTGAAATATCTTAAAATATAATTAATGACACTTCTATAATACAATAATACAACTAGACCATATCTAACGAAGAATAATTAAGAAATCTCAATATACTTTCAAATGGTGAAGCGAAGTATATGTCCTAAAACAACCAGGAACCATACATCGATGGTTTTTTCCTCTCTTTTTTTTAGTTGTTTTCGGTGGTTCCTCCTCATAAGAATCATTTGTGTCCTCTTTAATTAAATTTTCTTCTTCATTTCTAACTGGAAAAGAAAAGAAAATATATTTGAAACAGCATAATTAAGTTCTTTAGAAAAAACAAAAAAGAAAACTGTTTAAAGATTGTTACCTAAAATTTTATAAGATAATACTAATATAAAGTAATAAAAAATGCAGAGAATTTAAACTTCAATGATTAGCAATTAGATTCTCAGATCAGAAATAACCTTTAGTGTAAAAAATTAAATATTCATAGTAATTAATATACTCCTACAGAATATTTTAATATGAAATGTTTTAAACCACAAAAATAAGACATTGAACATAAAATTTATGCACAATAAACTTAAGAAAAATATTTAAATCAAAACATATATATATATATATATATATATATATATATTTTAAATAGACAAAACATTAGCACCATTATTAGAAAAAACGCTAACAATCATTTAGTTCAATGAACAGAAAGTTGAAATTATGGCAATGCCAAATTTTCAAACAATGCAGCTTATAATGAAATTTAAAAAAATACAATTCGTATTGAGTCTTGTTGGATTTATAGTTTACAAACAAAATAATTTCAGGCAAGAAAATGAATTCTAGAAATTTATTCCATTTTTTCTATTAATACATAATCTAGGAGGATAAATTACCTTCATTAATAACTGGTTGAAAATAAGCAATTCTTCCATCTTCAAGCAGCACCACTTGTGTTGAATCTGAAGTTAGTTCTTCTTTTCTATCGCTAGAACTTGTAACTTCAATACTTTCTGATTCCTCATTAATCTGAACAACTGTAATGCTTTCTTCTGATTCTATACCATTGCCTGCTAAAATATCCAAACATAATTAAATAAGATATGCTGTTCTGGCACTTAGAAACTTTAGTACTGATTAAAAATTGCCATGTCTGGTTTGCATGTGGGTAAAAATTGCTTCGATCACACTGTAGATGGAACTTCAAACGTAGCAGCATTAACAATCAGGTTCAAGGGTGGACTCGCTACTATAGCTCAAGAGAAAAATAAACCACCAACTTGTTATTTTCAATTAAGGTTGAGGCTTTACTCCAGATAAGTCACCTCATATACTTTTAACACACCTAACCACTTTCAGGATTATATGTAAGGTGTGATCTTGACTCACCTGTCAACCAAACATAACACTTGAGAACTATTACTGAAACTTAATAAAAACTAAACTGTATACATTATTACCTTCTGATAAAGGTATTTTGAACCACTGAGAACCATCTATAAGAGTTACAACTCCATCACTATACTTCCCGATTTCATCTTCTGCCAACTTCACATACTCGACACCACACACTTCTTTATTAGTTGTAGAAGTGACATGAATGACAGGGACTATCAAAAGAAAAATACTTATAAGAACAACATTCAAATGGTGATAATGAAATGTGAAAATGTTCCATATACCTTCACAATTCTCTGTTATCTGATTATCTAGTGAATCTACACTTTCAATTTCCATGCTGGAAGATCTGCTATTATCTGCGTCAATGTCTTCATTCATTTTACTCCTTTTTTTTATAAAAAAAAAGCACCAAAGCAGAACGAATATTAATGGTGAAATATCTAAATACAAGTGGTTTACTAGGTTTTTGGTTTGTCAAGTATTCATAAATGTCACAATGTATCCAAGATTTAACAGTTAATATAGAATGCTTAACATAACAGTATGATCCTAAAATAATTATCTGTAATAACTAAGATATACTTTTTATTAAGTCAAAGAACTTCAAACTACAAAACAATAATGAACCCAAGAAACTAACATAACAAAACGAACAGCAATAAATATATTGATGAATTTTCTTTAAAAAAAAATGAATAAAATAAGTTGGCTTAATAATTATTACAATTTGATTGAAACTTAAGTGAACAACCGATAAAAACCCCAAGTACATTTGTAAATAGTGATGACAGCTATTTTCAAAAATAACCTCTATAAACTAATATATTGAAAAGGTGGAGAATAAGGATTAAATAAAACGAATCTTTCCCAAATAAATAAATTTAATAAATTCTTTTGTGTTTCAACAAACATCTCAAACCCTTTTAAGGGTCAGTTTAAAGCTAGAGAATCTTGGGATATTACCCATAAACTCACCGTGTGTTCGTGATTGTCAGTTGCGCCTACACCATTACACCGCTTAAGAAATCTTAATGAATGAACTTTAAATTCTTAAATAATTTTTAAAAGATATTGTATAAGCTATTTTTGTTGATTTTTTTTTGACATTAGATAAAAAATAGAATCATTGAAAAATTGTAACTTCCAATTTTATTAAAGAATATATAATATTGTTCTAATTTTCTTTACCTTCTCATTTTCTTACATTATATTCTTAACTCGCGAGAACTCGCATTGGTACTAGTTCATAAGAGTTCCGCACGGATTACGCGTGGTTCACAATCACTTCGATCACACTTGTTCCTGGAATCCCGAATGCGTTCGTGTTTTCCCGAAAGAGAACGAAGGCGACCGATCTCTTGGGCCAGTTTCTATTAACTTTCCCGCCATTTACGTACTTTAACCTTAACCACGTTCAGTTATATAGCAGGAGCAGATTTACATTCGAAATTTAGGCTACACATCATGAAACCTGAATTGAGCTTGTACATATATTATAGATCTGTAAAAAAGAAATAGTAATACATAAAAATCTTTAATTATTGCATCTCTGGCTGCTATTTCATGATATTATTTTTCTTACAGATGATTTCCAATATTCATTATCTTGGAATTATTACATATTCTTCGTCAGTTGTTTCCGAAATACGTTAATTCCTTTCTCGAAAATAAATTTTTTTTTTTTTTGTACCATAGCCTACAATAATCCCTTTTTTCGGATTACCAAGAAAAATAACTGCGAATAACAATAATTACACATCATAATACAAATCAGACAGTATATGCATACAAAGCGCCCCCCTCCACTAGAAAATAGCCCCTCATATTATTAGAAATCTAAAAAAATACATAAACCAGATAGACGATTGCGCAATTCTAAAAAAGGCTTGCTAAAATAAATTATAAATTCAGTTATTCCAACTTCTATTGAAAAACTCGAATAACAAAAAAAAAGATAATAGATAACTTAAAATTATTTATTATCCAAATGATAAAAAAATCTTTTATACACAGTTATAGAAGATAATATACAGTATATGCGTATTTACAGCCACTACATGTAAGCACTAGCGGATCCAGGATTTAATTTTGGGGGGGGGCTTCAGCCCGAAACCTTTTTTTTCATAAAAATAACGGTAATTACTTTGGAAAAACAGAAAGAAACTAACTACCTATATGAAATGGTGTTTAAGTTATTCCTTAAGTACTTTTAAATGTAATTACACTAACAATAATACTTTAAGAGGTATTTTTTAAATTTTTTTTCCCATAAAACATGGTTATATTTTTCCATTTTGGGGGGGGCTTCAGCCCGAAAGCCCCCCTCCCCCCCCCCGTAGATCCGCCCGTGCATGTAAGCACGTATCAATAAAAATGTTATTACTAAAAGCTTTTTTTTTTTTAATAGGGCTTCAAGAAACTACTCAAACATTTTTTTATGTATTTTTTTCTTTTTCTTTCAAAGTAATAACCGTTATAATAAAAACTAATACTTAACTAATTAGTAAATACACAATTTTTTAATAAGGAAGTTCTATAAAGGGAATACGTTGTATTTTTTTCAAAAATGCATGAAAATGGATTGTATTATGGGGCAATAGCTGACGTCATAAACGACGACAACATTCGGCTGTTTTCGGGATTCCATGAACAAGTGTGATCGAAGTAATTGTGAACCACGCGTAATCCGTGCGGAACTCTTGTGAACTAGTACCAAGCGATATAATAAAGAAACAAAACAAACGTCTCCTATAAACAATATTGTATTATCAAGAAAACACATTCAGCACACTCTGTTGAAATCACAATTTACTTCATTGATTGGCTTGTCTTTCATAAAATAATCAAATATCCTTCAGTTTAACAGTTCAGCAATAACACTACATTCATGAACTTAAAATAATTCATTATTGTTTATGCTGAGACATTTAGGTTGGTAGCTGAGGAATGTAGCATCCTTGATTTATAATTATCTTATTTACTTAGAATTAGATGTATTAGCAATCGAAACAATTAAAAGATATCCACAATATAGATATGTTAATGTAAAATATCAAATATTAAAAAAAATATCAAATGTATGTATCAATATTACTCAAGGTGCGCAAGGAATCTCAAGGCCATTCTCCTTTGTTTACCTTTTCACAAGATTTTAATTTATCATTATTAGTTTTAAAAAATTGAAAATTTAGTGGTATTTTTTTTTTTAACTGTAAGCTATATTTACGTATACTATCGTAAAAGTGGAATCTAGGAGACTATCCCTAGAATTAGTCTCGGCCAGTGCGTAATCTCACAAACGCAATTCTCTTGCCATATGAGCCCCTTACATGGTCAATATAATTGAGTCAATATATTGAAGTGGTACCTCGCACGGGTCAGTTATATTGAGTCAATATTATATCAGTTAGAATCTTGCTTCCACTAAACAAGGATCTCTTGCTTAAAATACTTGAGAAACTTTTGAAAAGTGAACGATATTGTGGGAACAGTTATTTTTCAATTTTTATTGTTAATGTGAAAGGTTATAGATTAATGATAAGAATACCATATAAACTCTTCTTCTAATAGCAATATTGTAACTTTTGCTGTGCTAACAAGTATGGACCCTTCTAGGCCATTGGTTAAAAGAGCTCGAAAGGCTTCTTCAGATATTTTAAATACTGTGGATGCGGCTAGTAGCAACTTCCACAGTGCCAAAAAAAAAATCAGGAAAGTATTAAAGTATCTTAGATAAAATTGGGGGAAAAAATAGTAACAGTGTTCGAGATCATATCAACAATGAGATATGATCTCTTGTAATCTCTTGTTGATATGATTGAAACACTATAAAGGGATAAGAACCAAGGCCGTGTATCAGCCGTTGTTCAGAGAGCAGTTACCGAAGCACTTTCATTTCAGAAGGTTCACGATGTGCTAACTCAAATAATAGTTGATAGCTCCTTGCCCAAAGTTACTAAACCACCTGGTGTGGTATCACTTCGTCCTCAAGTTGGTACTTCTAGGAATCAGCCACACTCTGGAACGACTAGTTAATAACCACAGGCTTGGACTTCTAAGGCCCAAGAACAGATTCGTGTAGACATGAATCCGGCTGAACGTTCAGCTTCCATCGAACCCTTCCGGATGGTCTTAAATAAAAGGAAACGGAGGAAGGCTAAGAATGCCAAGGAAAAGATAATGAACGATAGTCAAATCAACTGTCTTGATTCAAAAGCAAAACCGCAAAGAGAGAAGGAAGAAGTGAAGGCAAAATCTATTGCTTCCATAGTGAAATCCTGCCATTAAAACCTACACAAACGCACCGGTCAACATATGTCACAATTATTGGCCCTGGTAAAACCGCGGCAGACAACATTAATGGACTACCATCACCGGAAGAGATTGGAGTGATGGCCTCAATTGAACGTAAAACTAAGGGAGGCTCCATTTTGAAATTAAATGAAAAATAATTTTATTCTGGGACTGAAGTCCCCTCAGAATAATAGTAGAGTTTACAGAATATGTACCTTAGTCTGGCATGTAAGTATTATACAAATATATACAAAAATCCCTATGAAATTGTAAGCACATATCTATATACATACAAAGATACTAAGTAAAGTACAAATATATATACTAAAAAAAAATAATAAAAACACCAAGGAATATATATATATTTATTTATATATATATATATATATATATATATATATATATATATATATATATATGTATATATATATATATATATATATATATATATATATATATATAACATAATAACGATAAACACAGATACATACAATAAAATACTGAGATATATAAAAATAAAATGACCAATCAATTAACTGCTGGTGGCCAACGTAATTATATAACCCAGAAATGTTTACAAGCTTGCCTGATGTTTGAATTTGTAGTAGATGGTGGAATAGGAGTTGTTTGGAGCAGTTTATGGACGTGGTTTGACGTATGGATCAAATCCATCCTTGTATCCTTGTCCAAAATCAACTATCCAACTTCCTAGAAGTACGTTCCCTTATCAACCCATTCCAATCTGGCTTTCGACCTGGTTACTCAACGCAATCCGCTCTCCTTAAAATAACCCAAGACCTCCAAAACTCCATTCAACACCAAAACCTTCCCATCCTCATCCTTCTAGATTTTTACAAAGCGTTCGACACAGTTGACCATAAAATCCTCCTTACGAAATTGCACAATCTTCCTCTATCCAACAGTGCCCTGCGCTAGTTCAAATCCTTCCTTTCAAATCGGTCCCAGTATGTAGTAGTGCCAGGCCAACCTTCATCTAAGACCCTTCCCCTATCCACTGGTGTCCCTCAAGGTTCCTCTCTATCTCCTACTCTGTTTGTTATCTACATCAATGACCTTCCCCTCATGATCCGTCACTC